TCTCATGGAGGCTAACTCCCATCTTAAGAGAGAGAGAATCGTGATAAACTCTTGTTGAAAATCTCACCAATAAGTTTAATGACAGAGTTAAGATACCTAGATCCACAAAAAGGTTTAATCTAAGGTTTAAGATATCTGGATCCACAAGAAGGTTTAATCTAATATTTAAGATATCTGGATCCACAAGAAGGTTTAATCTAATATTTAAGATATCTGGATCCACAAGAAGGTTTAATCTAATATTTAATATATCTAGATCCACAAGAAGGTTTAATCTAATATTTAATATATCTGGATCCACAAGAAGGTTTAATCTAATATTTGAGATATCTAGATCCACAGGAAGGTTTAATCTAATATTTAAGATATCTGGATCCACAAGAAGGTGTAATATAAAGTTTAAGATATCTGGATCCACAGGAAGGTTTAATCTAATATTTAAGATATCTGGATCCACAAGAAGGTTTAATCTAATAATTAATATATCTAGATCCACAATAAGGTTTAATCTAAGATTGAAGTTGTATGGAAACAGAAATGTAATAATGTCAAAGTGCTAGAACTATTTTAACTAAACATTTAGGTTTATAGTTGTGTTGCAGGAAAGGTATCAGGAACAAAAGCCAAGTTAGTTGACTCGGTGATCAGCCTAAATCGGCCATTGAGTTCTGGGTGCGTCTTAACCATCTTGTCAGAACCACCATTAAAACGCATGTTTGGAGGAAGATCTGTATAAAAAAATATATACACATATATTTTAATACTCAGAATAATAAAACAAGGAAACAATATTTATTATAAAACATTTTGGTGTTGCGAACTTGTAAATTGGTCATTTTAATGTATACTTTAAAAAATATTTTTCTCAATTCTTTTTCTATTTTTTAATACCTGATTTTGAAAAGAAACTAACCTGTATAATGTTATACCTTGATTTCAAGCACACCTGAATATTTCAGTTACTATTAATTATTAAGATGGAAATTAAACTGTCCAAGCAAACGACTAATTATAATTTTCCAATTAGGATCAGCTAACACAAAGTAATTACGTGTGTCAGTATCTTAATGTTAAGCTCCAACAAGGCTCAAAGATACATCCACAATAAATATTATTGGGTGTGCCACAACATTTGTATTTACACACGTGTTAAAATAATTCTAAAATGTGAGTAAACTATTTAAAGATGTGTTATGGAAACTATTTAAAGATATGTTATGGAAACTATTTGAAGATGTGTCATGGAAACTATTTAAAGATGTGTTATGGAAACTATTTAAAGATGTGTTATGGAAACTATTTGAAGATGTGTTATGGAAACTATTTGAAGATTTGTTATGGAAACTATTTGAAGATTTGTTATGGAAACTATTTGAAGATGTGTTATGGAAACTATTTGAAGATGTGTTATGGAAACTATTTGAAGATTTGTTATGGAAACTATTTAAAGATGTGTTATAGAAACTATTTGAAGATGTGTTATGGAAACTATTTGAAGATTTGTTATGGAAACTGTTTAAAGATGTGTTATGGAAACTATTTGAAGATGTGTTATGGAAACTATTTGAAGATGCGTTATGGAAACTATTTAAAGATGTGTTATGGAAACTATTTGAAGATGTGTTATGGAAACTATTTAAAGATCTGTTATGGAAACTATTTAAAGATGTGTTATGGAAACTATTTGAAAATTTGTTATGGAAACTATTTAAAGATGTGTTATGGAAACTATTTAAAGATTTGTTATGGAAACTATTTAAAGATCTGTTATCAGGTGTGGATCATACACAAACTTAGTATAGCTTATCGTTATCCAACATTCATCTAAGCTATATGAAAGATCATACGAAAGATTACTAAGATAAATACATGTTTTAGTGTATGATATTCACATATAGGACCTGACCCTAGGGGATGGGGGTGGGGGTGCTAGCCACACCTCTTTTCTAAGTAACTTAAAAACTAAGGAGTAACAAAGGTTAATTAGGACAAAAACATGGATCAACTAAAATACCCTAACAACCCTACCCCTGCCATATGTAGTCCCTGATACAGTCCTTTATTGTAGTCCCTGATACAGTCCTTTATGGCAGTCCCTGATACAGTCCTTTATTGTAGTCCCTGATACAGTCCTTTATGGCAGTCCCTGATACAGTCCTTTATTGTAGTCCCTGATACAGTCCTTTATGGCAGTCCCTGATACAGTCCTTTATTGTAGTCCCTGATACAGTCCTTTATGGCAGTCC